AGGGGAAGGTTAAGGTTCTTAGCAGTGCTAGCTTGTATAAAACTAAGGGTGCTCCCAGAATCAATGAGGATATGAAGAGAATGGTCCCCACTAGATCCCTTTACTCTCATGTTTGTTAAACCATCAGCCCCAGCAATTGCATTAAGTGACATTTGGATTTCTTCCAAATTCTCAAAATCTGAGTTCTCTTCAGTCAGGTGCTCAGTGGAGTGTAAGTAACTGACCTCTTCATCCTCAGTCATAACCATGTAGTTTAACCTGTGCTTACATCTGTGACCATATGTATACTTTTCATCACAATTGTAACAAAGTCCTTTGTCCCTTCTGACTGCCATTTCTGCAGCAGTCAATAGTTTGATTGGGTTTCTGTGAGGGCCCTGGGTTTGTTTAGGTTGGGAATTGGAGGAAATATCAGGTCTGTTGGGTGGGTGGAAAGGGGTGTGGTAAGGTTTGTTGGAGTGTTTCAGCTTTTTAGTGATAGCTTCCAGAGTAACCAGTTGTTTCTTCCCAAGGTCAATAGTTTGTTGCAGAGTAACAGGCTCAAACATATGAATAAAAGATTGCAACTCCTCAGAAAGTCCACTAACAAAACTTGCAATGAAGTAATCTTCAGTATAGTCTTTGTTCATACACAACATGCAAGCCCTGAGTTCTTCAAATTTTTCAACATAGTCAAGATAAGACCCAGTATGTCTAAGCTTGTTAAATTCAGCAATAATTCTAGATTCTTTCAGCTCTTCAAACCTAGCAGAAATGACATCTAGAAATTGTGACCAAGTGATGTCTCCACACCTGGTACTGAAATTTTGAAACCATTGAGCTGCCTTACCCTCCAAATGCATAGAGGCTAGATGTACCTTTTGCTGATCTGGAATGTTGGGCATGAGTCTGAAATAGCTGTTACATTTCAAAATCCAAGTTCGAGGGTTTGTGCCATCAAAGTGGGGAAAATCAATTTTAGGGAGAGGGCTAAGTATATGAGGATGGTCGAGTTGGTTTTTTGGTTTTTGGTTTTGTTTGGGTGAGCCTTCTTGATAGGCTCCAAAGATGGATTCCTCTGTGTGGTATTTGCTTTTGTCCAAGTTGAGGAGCTGCAGTTGTATGGCAGCTAGGGTATTTGTGAGATGGTCGAATTTTCCAGTCATGCCCTGTATGTGCGATTGCATTTCACTGCTGACCGATTTGATTTCAGAGCTTAACTGTATAAATTGGTCGTGAAACTTCATCTTTGTTGCTTCACGTTTCAGCGTCTCTGTTTGCAGAGTTTGTTCTAACCTCTTTTGTGTTTCATGCAGCTCTTTGAGGCGTGTACCTTCTGCCATTGG